AACAAGAATAATAATAGAAAAAGTTAATATATATATATATATATATATATACAGACATTATTGTGTATCATAATGATAGTATGCATTTTCTTGTGTGCTAAGCGTGATAAGACCTCGAAGCAATGTTATCAATAAGTTCAATGTACATGACAAAAAAGAAAAATCACGCTAGAATGTAGAAGTTTTTCTTTTCTTTACGAATTTCAAATCAGAGATTGTAATGGATAGATTATGAGGAAGATGAAAATTTTGTTTTCAGAGTTAATATAGATTAAAATAGCTATTATTTGGACCCACCTCAAGTCTCAATTCTAAACTTTAAAAACTTGAGAACATTTCATTAAAATTATATTAACGTAATTTGTACATTAGATAAACACGTATTTTATGCAACGAAGGTAAATTACCGCTGTTTTCTATCTACCACACCCTATTTAACAAAAATTATACACTCGAAGAAGTATTTGCGCAAAGACTCCAAATATGTAGGAGCAGCTCTGTAGTGTTTCAAGTAGCAATTAACTTTTTTTATTACACCTACAGTTATAAAATATTTAACTAATTGCGAGGGAACTAATTCTGAATATAGTGGCGATTTCTGTATTAAATATGCTACACTCACCTCAGCAGGAAAGGCGTATCCGCCGACCGAATGTTCAGAACCTCTATTGTCGACTCTGCCAAAATGAATGTGAATCTCCTGAAATCGGTATTTATACGACAGAGGTCCGCCTGTGATGTTCAATTTGGCTACGTTTGGCGTTGTGTCAGCTTCGAAAATGATGCTGTGTCCAGTATTCCTTATGGTACCACTGACCTAAACAATTTCAAGTTTTGGCAATATATAACTTGAAGAGGATTTGGTATTTATTATAATTTCTGACAGATACAAATATTCAGACGTAATTATTATGACTTTTATTTTCTATAAACTATTTAATCAAAAGCAGCGTGCAAAAAAAATTGATTAATAGCATGCAACACACAAAATAGATTATTTACGAACATGCAACGCTAAAAGCAAATATTTTGACAAAATAACTCGTTGTCAACGGTGTATTACGAAATCAATACACAGATGTTGAATACATTATATTAAAACGGTTTTGGAACCTTATAACGTCGTTACAGTCCATGTCGCCACGTCCGGTCAATTCTCTATTCGAGGACGTGTATCTTGACAACAGTTGTCGTGTTCAAAGTACACAACTCCTCCCTAAGGCCTTTACATAATCCATCTAACATATAAGGACGACGATTTTCCGGTGCCCGTTTTAACAGAAATTCATAGGCATTTCTTCGTGCGGAATAGGATGAATATCCGTTTCATTCTCCAGCTACTTGAGGTGTATGACGGTTCAACGGATATGTCTCGAAAGCAGCTTGCGAACACCTCACTTGTGTCGCTTTTCGAGACGGAGATAATTTTTTATTATGTTGCATACTGTTGTCTGGAACACACTGACGGATCTTGCTACTGACGTTTGTGTTTATGGATTCTCATCTGTTATGGGACGTTGCATTTGGCTTACCATAACTGGGTACAATTTGTTGCAGGTCTCTTTCTGGATGGCGCCGATTCCCCAAGTAAATCCATATTCCTTTATTTCCCAATGTCATTAAGTACAAGGGATATTCCATCTTAGGAAAGCGATCAGTTTTCGGTGACATCACCCTATCGATGTTACGCTAAACATTTAATTCTGATACATACCGTTACACCATTACTTTATATCGGCTTCGGTTGTCACGTGACTTGCTAGTGTGCTTATTCAAAATTGTTTTATTATAGCGTACTCAACCCTCTGTAGAAATAATAGAGTATCGATATTGCCTCAAAGGGCAGAACTAGTTTAGAATTTCGAAAAGCAAATATATATATATATATTTTTGCTTCATTTATATACATAAATGGAGTTAAGACTAAATTGCAAAGGAGATATTTCAAGTTTGGAACAGATTTGCTCTCACAATCAATTTACGAAATGTAACATCCTGTTTTCAAGGTTTGTACAAGATGCAAATCTGGATTCACTGAACTTTTCAAAATATAATAAAACCTCTTCTAATACTATATGCATTAAAACGAAAATAATTATTTTCAATGCACCGATTGAAAAATAATTAAAGCAAACTTTTGATTGTTAGAGGTTCAAATATGATCCACACGTTTAACAGGTAATACGTTATTATATTCTTATACTAGAAACTTTCCAGCTCTTTCAAACGGTTATAATATCGCTAATTTCAACAGAAACTACTCGCTACAGCCACAAAAGTGAAGCAACTGGTCAAGCTTTCATTTTTTTACGTAAATATATCACGAAACTGGCGTAATTGTAAGTTTGTAAACATTTTATACCCCAAAATCATATTATGCGTTTCGTAAGATCCATTTTGTAAGATATTCCCTAAACTAGGTCGTAGTTATTACTCAGCCTACCTACAAGTTTAATGTGTATTATTACTTTCGGCTTTTTGCACTCGTTTAGCCTAAAACACATTAATTATAATGCTTGTTGTATCCACTAACAGAAAGGAAAGTGTGGCGTAACGCATTTCGGTTCTGAAGGCCAGCGTAACACTATTGTAATAACATTATGTTTTGATATAATTCAGACACGACAAAATGTTATTTTTAGCTCATTGTTACATATGGGACTTTAATAGAATAATGATAATTCAGTTTTCTAACAAAATAAAGTTGTGGTGAATTAAACAATTAAATATCTATTGTTCAGCTGATTTTTCAACAGAAGATAAATAATTGTACTTTGTTTTTGTTATTTTCAACCTCTGATGTTCAGAACTTTTCTTGATAGCATACTTAGCTTGAAAATCTCCAGTCAAATGTTCAACTCTTGGAAAAACTTATTTCATAACTTGTTTTGTCTACTCATAATATCAATCATATGCATTGCGTTTTCCCCCCAAACTGTGAGTTTTACGAGTAAAGAACTTGTCTAGTTAATTATGTATTTGAGATCTGATTTTGCATTTTAAATAACAATATTACCCTCAATATTAAGTTTCTTTCAGTAAAAATTATAGCAACGATAAACATATTATAAAGTAGCACAGGGTTGGACCAGTTCTGATCTCTTGTATTCCTAGTGTTTTCTTCTTTATTATACTAAGAGCTAATCACGTTTGTAAGAATGATGTTTCAAGTCCCATGCTGCCCTTCGAACGACTTCCTCCAACATCGTTCGTGTTCATTATATTGATCATGTTTGCGTACTGTTGCCCAACATTGCAACTTCCATTGTAACAACTTTCTCCGAAGACTGGCGAGATGAATCTTAGACCATGCACATCGATAAACTTTCCAAAGAGCCTTCCTATATGCTCACTTCAATGCCATCTTTAATCAAACCAAAGGCACAAACGTTAATTGGAGCTGAATCCGGGGAGTTGTGGTCCAATTAGATTGTTGTGATTTCAGCTTCTTCGGTCATTTTTGTAATGTAAACAGTCATTGGTTTCAAGGAGTGGTTAGAAGTTGATGAATCTCTGGCCTGTGAGCTTTTGTCAACTTCAAATCCTTGTTTATCATCTCATTAAGGGCACTAGGAAAGATGGCTAACTTCACTGCATTGTTTACTTTCGTGGATATCGCATTAACTTTGCGAATGAGAGCATACATTCGTTCTGGTAAGGAGTGTGAATTTGGATCACCTTGATTTCCTAAATACTGTTGTAAAAATGTTCCACTTTCATTGAAAACACTGATGACCTTTTTATTCAAAAATGTTGTGTCCATTGTCTCTATATCGTTTACGTTTAACAATCTTAGAAATGGATGTAACACATTCCTCCAGGCGTATGTCTATCCGTGAAAGTATTGCACTGCTTAATAATTCGGACTTCGCATAGTGTTAATAATATATAAAATTTAAACATGCCACACGTGATGATACGACTCGCGTTTATCACAACATATCATTGTATTAGCATATATAAATCATTCTTATAAAATACAGTTAACTCTTTATATACTTTATTTAAAATTTGTATATGTAAATCAATACGTAACTATCTTGACGTTCTTTTTTTTTTATGAGATATTTTAATATTACAATTTATAGTTTTGCGTTCGTTATTTATTATTTTGGGTTTTTCATCATGAATGACACCTGGGGAGGGTAACCACTCAGCAGCATCTGCCGCCTACAGTGACTACCCTTGACCAAGTAGCGGGATTAACTTATATGGTTATAATGTCCCCATTGATATAGACATATGGCGTATCGAACCTTGGACTGATAGCATGGTATACTAACAACTATACCACACGTTGTTCGTTTACCCATTCCTTTTTTTTGTTGGTCTATACCGAGTTCGAGGAAATGTTACCTAAACAAGAAAATTTTAATTTAAAAAGTGTATATATATATATATATATTGTAAAATACTCTGTATTTGTTATTACACTAATATACTGTATACACATTATTTTCCCACTGCTTGACAAATTCAGTGTGGTTGACGTGTGTACAAAACAACGCCAATATTAACGTACAATAACCATGCCCTTACTCTAAGCTTGTCCACGTGGATTGGACGTAGATATGGATCAAACAACAGGACCTTGGGATCGATATCAATGGGAGATTGGCGTCGTCCTTTACTACACAAATTCCATTCTGGATTTAACAATCCCCAAAAGTTAGGACCTGAAAAACAGAACAGTAAAACCTTGTGAAGTATAATTGTTCTTTATCCTATTATCAAATAAGTTAGTTCGACATAAAAAAAAACAGTTTGAAGGACAAAAAGATTAAAATGAAAAAAACAACAACAACATTCTATTTGTATTCCATAATATTCATATTTCACAAGATATTAATAAAGTGGTATTTTTAATATATTCTTAAATACACAATAGTTTATAAACAAATTTAGTTTTCGTTTTGTTTATTCTACTGTATCTTAAAACAAGTTGCAACCTTACAGCCTAAAAATATGCACGAGACGACAAAAGGTACATTAAATATGACGAACACACACACGAATAACTAGACATGTATATATATCCACATAGACGCATATGTAGTGTGTGTGTGTGTGTGTGTATCTTTTCATTGTCATTAAAGACATTATACCCCCTTCCTGATAGTTGGTTAAAGTTTCAAAATTATCCTTTCTAAAACAAAATAGAGAGCAGAATAGGTGTTTGATCAAAGCATTTTCACCTGTACATCAACGAGATGTGGCGTCTAAGTATAATATGTTTGTAGAATTATACATCTGTCATCCGATTAATTCCATTGGTTATTGCATTAAATACAATGTGAACAGTAAAAAGTTATAAAATGTGTGTGTATGTGTGCGCCTTCTATAATAACATGAACAGCCTCAGTGAGAGGACTGGGAATATCACTTAATATAATGTTTATCCAGTTCATATGGTTAGATGCTATTCTAGGTATTTTTAAATGAGCTGTTTTATTCTGTAATAAGCTGTTGTCTGCATTATTATATTTAGTAACTAATTTTGGGATCGTTTTAACTGAAATTTTATTATCGGTGTTTAATGCTTTTAATTTCAATCAATTTCCTTTATGACTAAGTTCACCAAAGTGTTTTTAGTTCATTCTATACTCTGCACTCCACAAAGTGTTTTTAGTTCATTCTATACTCTGCAATCCACAAAGTGTTTTTAGATCATTCTATACTCTGCAATCCACAAAGTGTTTTTAGTTCATTCTATACTCTGCACTCCACAAAGTGTTTTTAGTTCATTCTATACTCTGCACTCCACAAAATGTTTTAGTTCATTCTATACTCTGCACTCCACAAAGTGTTTTAGATCATTTTATACTCTGCACTCCACAAAGTGTTTTTAGATCATTTTTATATTCTGCACTCAACAAAGTGTTTTAGTTCATTTTATACTTTACACTTCACAAAGTGTTTAGTTCATTTTTTACTTTACACTTCACAAAGTGTTCTTAGTTCAATTTATACTTTACACTTCACAAAGTGTTCTTAGTTCAGTTTATACTTTTCACTTCACAAAGTGTTCTTAGTTCAGTTTATACTTTTCACTCCACAAGGTATTTTGAAAAACATTTTGAGCGAATGTATCAACTTTAACACTACTGGTTAAGTAGTACGATCTCTACTCTGATTTCAATGACATAAATATATAATTAAAATTGCCTGGTGTTAAAACAGTTTAAGGCTAAAAACTATCATTCTGTAAATAAATTTATAAATTTTTAATGACGTATAAGTAGTTCTTGAATAAACATTAAATCACTGAAAACATTGACATATAGGTACATAGATGCTAAATAATTACTTACTTATAAATCTTTACGCAAATTCTAGTCTAAACTTTCAATTTAATGTTCTTGGATTAAGGTTCACATTTACTTAAATCTTGTTGTGACAGTTAACATAACGCGGAAGTCGTACGAGTGTCTGCATTATCAACTATTTATGATTTTAGAAATGAAGCAGAATGTATCCACGTCCAAATTAGAAAAAAAAACAACTTAAGTGAATAAAATCGAAAGCGATTGAGGCTATGAGTCAGGTACTAAACATTCATTAGGAAACTAGCAAAAAATACAGTTACAAAGTTCATAGGTCAAGGTTATTGAGGATATCCGAAACATTCACTCTTTTCAAGACGTTAAATACATAATCCCAAATTTTTCCACGCACCTGGCATCTAGGTTGTTCTGTTGAAGTGTCGGCTTACGTAATATATCATATTTACCCAAATTGTTACACTGTTACTTGCATGAAAACAACAAGTCAAGTTGCTGCATTTAAAAATCGAAGTATGCGAAATTTTAGTTCATTCTAGTCTTGAGTAACAAATTATTTGCTATCGAGACCCGAACGTGACATGGTGGTTATCGTATCGGATTCGTGATTTGAGGGTCCCCGGTTCGAGACGCTTGTTCGCACTTGCAGTTGCGGGTGTGTTATAAAAGGAACACCGAAACTTCGTATTCGGTTATGAATAGTTGCTTTATACGGCGGGTGCAGCCGATTTATTGCCTTTTTTTCTGGTCCCTAATTCGGAACTAGGGGTGGCTATGCTGAACAGTGGGGGTCTCTGACCTAACCATTTAGCCCATTTGCTAGCGAGTGTTCATACCGTTATTGTGATTTTTATCATGTAAATAATTTATTTATGTTTATATATAGAAATCCGGATAAAGGGTTGAAGAGAATTTTTCTTATTGTTTAATTACTCTTTGTTCATGCATAAAATTGTGTCATCTGTCCTTGCAGAAACGATTAGCTCAGAGTATAATTACGAAAGCTTCGGATGATCGAGAGATTTGTATTGTGGTAATTTTTGATCATTCTAACAACTCTGTTTAGCACAAAATATGAAATACTTGAGGGATCAGTCCTCTTAATACATAAACAAAGTGTCTTTATTTTTTCCCATTCTTTCACTGCAAGTAGATGATTACATTGTATACTTAAACTTCACTAAATACACCCTCATTAAAATAAATTATTTGTGGAATGCCAACAATTGTTTCTAACAGCAGGGTAAAAGTTGGCTACGACTTTCCTTATGTATGAAAACGTAGCGTGCTGCAATAACAGCGTGTAATTAGAGAAATTTGAAACTAAGCAGTCCGTAGCTAATAATCTCATCAGCTGAAAAAGTTACTAGTAATGATGCATATATTTTTATTTAAAACAAAAGGAAGAGAACATCCATGAAATATCATTAAAAGTTTCTGGCATTTGGTAGGCAACTCATAATTCGATTTGACAAGTGACAAATTACACTGAATTTTATTAACGTCACGTGTGATTGGTTACGTTTTAAACCAATTAAACATATTGTTTCAACTTCAGTGTGATTGGTTACGTTTTAAACCAATTAAACATATTGTTTCAACTTAACAGTCAGTAAGATATTCCATGGCAGAGGTTCCCCTGCGGCTCAGCGGTAAGTTTGAAAGGTTATAACCTAAAAATTAGGTTTCGATACCTCAATGGGCAGAGCACAGATAGTCTATTGTGTAACTTTATGCTTGATAATAACTAAATAAACCACGAGAAAGAAAACCAAATGAAATTCACTCGCGTATCCGTGAATGAATAACGAACTTTTATTATAGCTTATTAACTTTATTGATTAACAACAAAAATGTATACAAGTAAATTAAAAGTAATCGCTTTCGGTAAATGGCAAATTACGCCTGGTAAAGGAGGTACACTTTCAGAAAATAGTCGAATAATTGGGTTTCTAATTTTGTTTATGTTGATTTTGTGTGTATTTGAATATCATGCAATTTAAAGTGATACTGTACATAAAATATAACTGATACAAAGTGGAACGTTGTAACTGTCGATTATGAGAAACAGCTGTAGGAGCACTTCCTAATTAAATTCCTAAATATATGTTCTTCCAACAATAAAAAGTTACACTAACAGAGTCATTTTGAAAAGTAGCTATGACTGAAATGTTAAGGAGACACTTTTTAATTATTTTGTTTTTTTAACAAAATAATTAAAAACTGTCTCTAAAAAACTACTAGTCTCCAACTGTGAAAATGTTAAGAACAGAACACAAACTTTGATAGTTAATCAACATGAGAAATATCGAAGTTTGTGTTCTGTAGTAGTAGTGGTGTGTTCATATTCTGGTTAAGAGCCGGTATTCTTAACTTAATAGCAAGAGATTCTAGCAATTGTGTAAATATAGATAGAATAAGAACTTCGATAGTTAAGTATATGAAGTAAAATTCACGATGTTAGAAAAACACGTAGTTCAAAAAGTCTTGATAGAAATAAATAAAAAACCATATAACCAGAGCGCTTTCGAAAGGTGGACCTTTCTTTTTTAGGGGCAAACTGGGCATAAAGTAACAGTAATATACTCATTTTTTTAACAATACCTGTAACTGAAATGTTATATAAACCCTTTACAATTTCTTTCATAAAATGTGTAGCTAATCCAAATATATTTTACACAATCATATTAAGAAGTCATTGTTACGACTCTTTCATGTTTTATCTACTTATTTACGCATATAGTTAACTGGCATAAGCGAAATAAATAAATGAAAAAAATGAATTCGGTCACGCGCTTCAAACACATTGTTTCACTTCACGGTTAGAAAGGTTTTTAGATATAGAAAAGAAGCAAAGAAATTTGTTGTTTGGTCTACCAGAAAGGGAAATATAATTAAATGTTTGTTGTTTGGTCTACCAGAAAGGGAAATATAATTACATTTTTGTTGTTTGGTCTACCAGAAAGGGAAATATGATTACATTTTTGTTGTTTGGTCTACCAGAAAGGGAAATATGATTACATTTTTGTTGTTTGGTCTACCAGAAAGGGAAATATAATTACTTTTTTGTTGTTTGGTCTACCAGAAAGGGAAGTATGATTACATTTTAGTTGTTTGGTCTACCAGAAAGGGAAGTATGATTACATTTTAGTTGTTTG